ATTTGCAGAACTTCTCGGGTTTTTTTTTACGATTTCTTGCGTTCCATGCTAAAGGAGCATAAATAACATTACAAATATAGATGATACTTAGTGCCGACCGTTTAGGCATTCGTGTGATTCCTGACCTCTAATCTAACAATTAACATACATTTTTGGTGATATAGCGTATTTGAAGTATCGCGTGAAAAATCGCGCATCTTCTCGCTCGCTCCCTCACATCGCCTTATTCGGACACGTCAGACATGCTCGTGTGCAAGCGTATGTCTGTCCGCGTTCGCCCATTCGCGTCGAACGGGCACTACGCGTCGTTTATCGCGACGTGCGTGCGTGCGTGCGTGGTTATGTGCGTATGTGCGTACGCGCGCGCATAGAGAAATCGCGGAACCGTGGAACCGTGCACGTGTGTGTTTACGGTAGCTTCCCGCGCGCCCAGGCAGGGTGCATAATAGGCATATTTCGATGGAGGAAAGGGTGCCCCACATCGCAGCACTAACGAGCTAAATTCGTGCGCTAGTCGTACACGATGCAGCGGTGTGTCGTCGCCGAACAACGACCGACGTGAATCACATCGGCCTTGAAATAACGATGTAATCTTCCGTTCAAATCCGTAAAACGAATTGTCCGAAGAAACGGAAAATTGACATTTTTCGCACTGAAATTAATCCGTCGTTTGCAATTTGAATCTTTTTTTTTTTCAGCACGTGAAATTTCACTCTGAATTTCATCCTCATTTTTGCTCAAATTCACTAAATTGTTTTTTTCTGTTTTTTTAATTATAAAATTATATTTAATTAGATTTAGTTTTTTTATTAAATAACATTTGAGAGTTAAACACTATTTGATAATAGAGATGTTGAAAAGTGATCCGAAACTTTTTTTTAAAAGTCTTATAGAACTTTGCGCACGGAGGGTTAATTTACATCTCAAGAGGATACATCCGTGTATGTTTAAATGGTTCGCATTACGTAAGCAATTATTTATATATATCCTTGAAGAGATTCGCAATTAAGGAGACGTCGGAGCACGTCTGCCTCATTAAAATATACGAAATATAACAAAGAATAACGCGATATGATTACGTAAAGTACACTGATTAATGTAATTGTTGAAAGTTCCGGCGGGCACGGAAATAACGCTCGTAATTATGACTTGCATTTCCCACACCGTTCCGGTACGAATTACATGTAACGCGGTATTTTATTCGTACGCATCCTAATATTACTACATTGCGTATGCATTATTGTACGTATAAAATGTGGTCGCGAGTCTATTCGCGTACATAGAGATTCCGTCGTTCTGCAAGAGTAGCGTCTGACGCAATTGTCAGATAATCCCCCGTTATATCTCGAAGACGTTTATGATAGACAGGCAGAATGAAAAGGCGGTGAAAAGGAAGCGATGGGAAATTCATAACGGCGTGTTCCTGAAACAAAGCGGGACATCACTTTTTTTTTTCCACACTCCCCCATATACTTGGCTTGAATACGTGGGAGTCTGGGCGTTTTCAGCATGTCAGCACTAGGTGATGGAAAGTAGGATCCAAGCGTGCTGTACGATCTCCCTTGTCAAATCATGGAGATTGTCAGACATGAAGAAACGTTCGCGTGTACGGCGGCGGTTGCTTATATACTAACGTGGAAAATCCGGACGTGACGTGAAGAAGGATACCTGCGGGCTAAAGAAAGCGAACCCGAATCGCACGTAGAGATGTTAGAAAACATATACATATATATGTATCTATGCATATATGTGGGTAGTTTGATAAGTTAGTGACTTTTTGAAAGGAGACTATGTTGAAAAATAAGTGGAATTTTAGTAAATAAAAAAAAAATTAAAAAGATAGTCACTGACTTATCAAACTTCTTTCGTGTGTGTGTGTATATATATATATATATATATGCATATTTTTTATGACCACTTTAAGCTTCGTACAGTGTTCCGTTTCATCAAGAGATATTTAGTTCGCCGTTTAGCATTGGTATCACCGATACATCAGATCATATAGGATTCTTTTATTTCGTGAACGTTTATTTTTGTTTCAGACACGCCTCTATCACCGATGGGGCCTTCGTCGCCGAGTCAGGAAGGTCTATTCACGGATCTTCGGCTTCTGTCCTTGGAGAAGCAGCTCAATATCGAACTGAAGGTAGAAATCCGCTTGCTGAAGAGACGCTATTGAATTATGATATACATTTCAAAATTACAAGCAGACATTTGCGATATCCAACGTGAACATGGATGACACTGCGTGATATCAAGCTGTCACTTATCAAGATTTTTAGCAGCAATCGCGATATCGGAGAATACCGATAACGAAATAACATCTCTTTCAATAATAAATATATTATACGTTCAGCAACTTGTTGATAATGTACATTTAGAATATAATTCTCGCAAAGTCGTTATGTACAACTTTCTGAATGATTACGCAGAACTTCGATAGTTCTCTTTCACTTTTCTTGTATCAGCCTCGCGTGAGTCAGCGCAGTGAGTCGCTCATAGTTTTTCTCTTACTAAAAATAATCTCTCGTTACATCACGCAAGGATTTGAAATAATTAGACTAACGCGTACGGACTCTTTGCAGTTGTCACTTGTTAATGTAGAAGCGTTAATTATTTACAATTATACCTTCCTATTTTCTCTTTTTAACAAAGTGCTTAATTTTTTTGTACATTGGACTTTTAGCGTTCAATACTGTATAATTAATTTTAATAAAATAGCACACGTAGAATGTCATTCGTTTTATGTTCATTGTAGGTCAAGCAGGGTGCTGAAAACATGATACAGAGTTTAACAAGTGGCCATCGTGACAAGAAACTGCTACAGGAGGCTCAACAAATGCTAGATGATTCCCGTGTCAAAATCGAGTTCCTACGTATGCGGATTATGAAGGTGCGCCAATCACGGCAGCAACAACGAGGCGATGCACCACCACCGAACGGTGAAACAGCTAGTAATAAAGGTACGTACCGGTCGTTATTAATAATAATTTGTGTATGCAATATTTGATCGAAATTGAGAAAGAGAAGATAATTTTGAAAGAATATTCCTCTGTCTCTCAAATATTTTTCTGCAAATAAAACAATTAGTTCTCCAATATTGATTGTGACAAAGTTAAAGATACAAGTTGTACCAGCATAAATTTACGGTATCGCGTGTAAATCGCGAGGAGTTGAAATGCTTCGTTTATTTAAATAATGTACGCGCTATCAGAAGTCCTGCTTAATTCTGTCGAACGTATCGTCAGCTTTATCGTTCTAATTGTTTGAACGACCATAGTTAAGCTGTATACATTTCTGATTTCATTGTTAACGTGAGGTTTACGGAATGAAGACAGTAAGCTGACATTTACTGCGGTAATGAAACTGTCTCAGGACACGGTATACATTCGTATCTCACCAGGAATTCGTGCCGTGTATTCATTATAAAAGTACAATGTTGCATATGTTCGTTATTGTGGTAAATGACATTTCTTGGAAGGAAGCGCTTTGTTCGTCGAAGGATATATTCGTTACGCGTATAATGGTTTACTTTTTCCTCGCTATAAAACGTGGGTGGATACATTACGTAAGAAGATAATCATGCGCCGTAGATAAATGAAAGCTTTGTATGAGTAATGGTTAACGTTGCGAGTGTGATCTTTTTGTCGAATGTAATGTGAATAATAAGTATAACGCGCTTTTACAGATAGGTACGAGCCCAGCTTGGAGCTCGCGTTGGAGGAAAGGGTGGAGGAGCTACGGCATCGATTACGAATAGAAGCAGCTGTTGTAGAAGGTGCCAAGAACGTGATACGTCTTCTACAAAGTGCCAAAGTCGCTGATAAGAAGGCCCTAACCGAGGTACGTGGTCATTTTTCTTTTTCAATTCGCTATCCGTCGACGTGGAAGCCGGAGTTCTGCGCGTGACACGCAATTTACGAAAGGTGTGTGTTTGTATATGTAGCGTTAAAGGAAGCCATTTACGTCACTTCGCCGACAGAGCTGTTTCGAAATGATAATAACGTTGAAATTGTCCGACTACTCTCTTAGTGAAAATGCACAATGGGGACAATTTCCGCTTCTAGCGCAACAAGATGAATGTTTTTCTTTTATAGTCAGCAAAAACGCAATATATGAGAATGTCCCACTGCCTTATTTGCCATATTAAAAGTTTGTTAAACGTAGATTATGTTTTCTAGAAAATTTTCAGACTGTTTTAAGTCAATTGTTTAGGAAAACATTTTTTGTAAATTGATTAATTTATAATAGTTTCGAGAATTAGTGTTGGGGGAAGACACAGATCTCATGTGAGTGGTGATGTGATTTCGACGAGGGGGCGTTTGTCCGTTGCGCCGGCACGAAAACGACTTCTTGTCGACAGCCGGATCGCGCGGGCGACGTCGACGGTGTAATGCATGTCGACATGGACCCCGGAGGGTCGGTGGCGGCGTATACGCGCGTCTCTGAAAATAGCTCGCCGAATACCCGCGCCACCCCGCCGTGGTTCTCGTGACGCCTTTTCGGGTCGCGCTTAGTTACCATCTCTCGAGGAGAACTGGCATCATCCAGTATCGTAAGCACCGCGATAAACCGACGACATGTGCACCGGCCGACTGCGAAGGAGGCGCCCGTGGAATGTATACGTCCATCAAGTGGACATCCAAGAAGATATCGACCACGCGTTCGGATAATCGTGGCTGTTAATTATGATCCGAACTCGAAGACTGACACGAAGCCGCCCAATGATCGTAGCCTGTTTGGATCGCCGCCCCTCCGCTCTTTTCTCGAACGCTGCACTCCAAAGAAGACTGACGTCTGCTTTAGAATCGATTTAAGCTGTCAGGATACTTGTATACTAACTGGACGCTCAAACATTTCTAATCGAGCCATAAACAATCCGTTACTTAGCGGAAGTTTAAATCTTGTTTGATCCCTGGATGTTTGAATGTGTGTAACGTATGCGAGTTACTCAGAAATAATCGATTCATTGCCTTTTAGATTGTACGTGCTAAATAATTTCACGCTCACGTAAGATATCTGTGTTTCGAATACTCTCGACTGCCGGCAATTATCGAGACTGAATAGTCTACAATTTTAATTGAAATTTTTAAGCAACTTGTACATCGATTTTTGTATCGTAGTACATCCCACCTGACCTGTGCATTATTATTGCGCACAATTATTACGTCAGTGACCGTCGAGCATGTAAAAAATGCTACATTATTCCAAAAAATATTTCTAATGCGACTGTATGTTGCTCCAAATTTATATCATGCTAATTATATATATATCGTCGCTCTATATTGCTCAGTTTGTTGCCTTACGAGAGATGGAAACCGCGATGGTTGCAACAATCGCAGAAATATTGTGTAATATGCAATGATGAACTGGCACATCACAGCTGTCACAACTGTTAAACATATTTTATATAGAGAGAATAAAAGAATGCAAACCGACGATTACTATGTCGTCATACCGAAGTATCTTCAGGTATCGGCGCTAAAATTTTGCAACGTTAAAGCGGAAAGAAACGCACTCGGATAGTTCTCGAACACGGGACCCGAAAATAGATTGGTGGCGATGCAATACCGCAGTATTACCATCCTTCCGGGAAAAACTGCGCCACGAACGAGATTGTGAAGCACAAGCAGCTCAACTCTTAAATAGATATCATTATGTAAGATTTCTTTTCAATATTACGAAATTAGATGAAGAATTAGAGATAAATGGTCACGGGTGATTAATCGCCGGCATTTTGTTGTACGTTTCGAGCAGAGAGACTTGAAATCCATGAACAGAAGAAGAAGAACCTCTTCGGTACGGAGGAGAAGAGGGCAGATCACTTGGACGTATTTTCCTGGCAGCAGAGCCGATTGGATGACAATAATGTCGTGTGGATGAAGGCACGGCGGAGACTGAGGAGGAAGAGAGAGGCGCAAGATGTACGGACGTCAGGATAATTCGGGCGACGGTAGCTCGAGCCAGGTGCCACCGTGGCTTGTGCGCGCCGAAGTCACGATCCGTCACGGTGACACGGTGACCTCCGAGACCGTGCAAATGCCTCCGGGTACCAGTACCACCACCGACGCGGGCGGCATCCGCATGATATGCCGCTGGAACACGAGCGAACCGAACTCGACGTCAACGTCGACGCCAGCCACCACGTCCAACGCTTTTCTGTCGTCTGGTAGTACAGCCGGCGGCTACGGCTTTCAACGGGGCAATATACTCTTCACGTCCACACCGCCCGAGAAATCAAGCGGATCGTACACTCTGCCACGCTCGGGCTCATCTGGTAACGACGACTCTATCTCATCTAGAGGCCGAGCGAACGTTTCTGACTCTGGCTACACCAGCGAACAGTTCTCGCCGCACACGTATTCGTCCCTGCCCGCGCGACGCTCTTCTCAACAGTACGATCATCGGTGCAAAAGCACGTGCAGCATTGTACTATCCACCGTAGGCGCGGATAAGCCTAATCCTGAGAAAGTTCCGTCTGTCGATCAGTGGCACCGCCGAGCTCCGCACCAATACGTCTTTTCGCGTCATCAATTCAGCACGGTTCCGGAAGTCTGTGAGGATTGTGCGGAAGGAAGCGCATCGAGCGCCTTCACCACGCATTTCTGCACTCGCGTCGCAGAAAAGACTGTCAATACCGGTAAGGCCACTGCGGTAAGCAAGGACGCGGCATCGCAAACCACCGACGTCGAATCGGTGCGCTCGTCGTCGACTGTAAAGAGCAGCAAAATTAGGAGGAAATTTGGTACCGGTGGTAACCAGCGTAGCGAGCAGAAAAAGGAGGTGAGTCATTAACATGGATTCCGCAACATGCAGTAAATATATGAAACAGATTGTTCACCACGGATCTCAAATGCGACGATCATCTTCTTTCAGCAGGAAATCCGATCGTCCCCATCGGCATCAATTGGGAATACCAGTACCGGTCCTCCGACCGATCCAGAAAAATCGGACTCATCCGCGAAAGAGGACAGCAGTAAGCGCAAGTCGCGAACGGTGCACATCGATGTGTACTGCACAGGATCCGATGACGATGCCAGCACAGACACGATCAGCGAGGACAATCACAGCACGCCCATGACCGTCTTTGAAAACGACGACGTCAAAGTCACTCACACTCAAGCGGCAGATAACTTGCCGCGAGGATTTCAAGATGCAAACGCGTTTCTGAAGCGCAGTGCCGAGCGACGATGCGCAAGTTTCAGAAATGCACCGATGAGAATGCCCTCGTTAGCTAGTTCGAAGGGATACGATAGCGACGAGGTCCTGAGCTCTCTTTATCCCTCGCGATTCAGCTCGTACAGCGGGATACGGGATCTCGATTCCATTCCGTGCTCCACAGTGTCGTCCAGCACGGCTCTTTCGCCATGCGATTACGATTCAACCATGACATCATCAAAGGACACATTCTCTGATATTGAATCCCTGATCAACAGTAAATCCGGTTTGACGCCTTGCGACAGCTTTGAATACGCCAATGCCGCGGATCGCGACAGAATACGGAAATTGGATATTTTGGCGAAAACTGGTAATGACAGAAACAGAGTCTGGCGATCGCCGCAAATTGAACGGAAACATCTGCTACAGAACAAGAAGATGAGAGAGTACTTCGAGAAGCATGAGATAAATTGGTCATCTGGGGACAGTGCTGAGGATTCCGACGAGAGCGGAGCAGTCGGTTGGAGTTTTATATCCGGCGATGATAAATCACGATTTGTTAAAAGAGATTCAATCGTCCGTTGTACGAGCAAAGGTCAAATCAAGGAATCTAGTGTGACTAATTTAGATTCGGAGCATAGAAGTATTCAAGAAGAACACTCTCGGTTTGCGAACAAAGATTATGTCCCTTATACGAATGTTTTACGCGATCGTATTGGTCCGTTTGGATCAAAGAGCCCTTCCCCTCTTCCTTCGACCATACCCTCCCGCGTAACGTCTCCCTTCACTACATTGTATGGAGAAAGAACTGAACATATTCTAAAAGCCTCAAGATTTGGCGCAGTAATCAACGCGTTTCGAAAGCCCGGGCATCATATAGGTCCCTCGAAAAATCCAACGTGTTCGTGCGAACATTGCCGAAGATATTTCGAGGACGGAGGTAGAGGACGATCTTCTTCATTGAGTGAGCTCGAACGTCATCCGGCCTTCAAATCGCGAAAAGAATGACATTTAATTTCATTAGCTCTTGAGGATTTTAAATATATTTATTCTTTAGTTTTTACAAGACAACAAATGCTTTCCACTTTATTTATTTATGTTATAATAAGATTTGTATGCTTAAAAAATAAATTGCGTTCCATTGCATTCAAGGCGATTAAGGACAATATAAACTCGTATATTGTGATTTGTGTGCTTAATTTATATTTCTTAAAGTATTCCATATACTCTATACATAGCTTTTTTTTTATCTAAATTAATTATTATGAGGACTGCTAAAAAACATATTCTGCTGAAAATTGAGCATTTATAAAAATTAACAAGGATGTATTATATTGATTGCATCGTTAATAAATTTATGTCGAACATCATTTGTGTGTTTACTTATATATATTGTATAATCCCCTCTTTACATTAAACTGATGTTAAATATCTTAGCTCGTAATGGCACGTTATTATATAAATCATAAATTACTACAGGCGCAAGCAAGTCTCGCGGAATCCAGTAGAAAATTGGACTTACTTAGATTGTCCCTCGAGCTCAGAAGGCAAGAGCTACCTCCCGACAGCGGTACCGCAGCTCAGTTAAAGAGAGAATTAGCTAGCGTTCAGTCAGCTAGTCCAGTTCCTGTTACATATACATCATTACAACCGTTTCGCGGTCCTTTGGAGGGTAAAGCTACTGTACCAGCCTCGGTATCGAGATGCGCAGCTGTCACAGGACAATTAGAGGTATATTGAAGAACATTACAGACAATTAACTGATCAACGGTATTATTTTTTTTTTGTACTACATGCCGCGATATGTTTAGGTAAGATTAATGGGATGTCAAGACTTAGCAGAAGAAGTGCCTGGGCGTACGAGAAGGGAACACCCTGCTAGTCCTGATTTACGTAGTTTCGTTAAAGGTGTTACAGGACGCAGCTCAAGCAAATCATATAGCGTGAAAGACGAAACAAGCAGTAAGTTTTTGATATTTTGAGAATAACATCAATATCTTTGAATCCTTTATTAAATATCATTGTTTTCAGATGATATTATGGCAGTTATAAAATTAGATAACCAAACCGTAGGACAAACTAGTTGGCGTCCATGTTCCCAACAAGCTTGGGACCAAAGGTAATACTAATTAATAAATGCATTAACTCAATTATGTGAACAATTCAATTGTGCATTTTGTGTATTCAATAAAAATTTTTAGGTTTTCTATTGAGCTTGATAAATCGAGAGAACTTGAAATAGGCATTTATTGGAAAGATTGGAGATCTCTTTGCGCGGTTAAGTTTTTACGTTTAGAAGAATTCATTGATGACGTTCGACACGGCATGGCTCTACAATTGGAACCGCAAGGCCTTCTGTTCGCAGAAATAAAATTCTTAAATCCAATGATATCGCGAAAGCCTAAATTACAGCGTCAACGCAAAATTTTTAAGCAGCAAGTGAAAAATTTCCCAAGAGCTAATCAAATGAATATAAATGTCGCGACGTGGGGTAGGCTGCTTAAACGTTCGGCGCCTTCATTACACAATTCCAGAAGCTCAGAAAGTCCACCGTCAGGTAAAGATTAAAATTCGTCTACGTAAAATGCATAGTCTTACCAAGAGTTTAATACATTTTGATTTGCAGGACCACAACCGTTGCAACTTGTATTTGATACCTCAGTAGAAGATAAGCCTGAAACTCCCGGCGAAGTGCCCGATCCGGAGAAAGGTGGATTGGGTGGCGCACGGCCTTTAGGTATGTCAACATCGAGTAGTAGTCCAACTTTGCCACGTCCTCCGGAGCATCCTCCTCCACCACCACCAACTGTGACAAAAAAACCTACGCCTGCACCTACACCACCTCCCAAACTGGATCAAGAGGTAAGTCTTTGTATATACGTATTTCTGTATATATCATTACTTTTAAATGAAAATGCTCTATATATTGATACACGATAATATTGTTTGTTAGAAATGTTGTTTATTATTGTATTATATGTATTTGTCAATCTTTGCTTTTGATGTAAAGATATATAAGATTGGTAATGTCGCAAATTGTTACGTAATTGTTATAAGTTTATGTTATTATATGATATGTGTATGGAGAGTTTTCATTTTATGTTACGAATACATATAATTTATTATTCTCATATATCGCATTTCTACGATATGTCTACTTTTAATCACTTTACAAGAAGATTGTAGCAATGTATTATAATTTCAAGGCTGGGAATCTTGGTTATGGGACAAAATAGTTTATAAAACAAATGTGTGATAAATAGATACATTTTATAAAAAATTATAATTCTAATGGATGTGTATATATTTTGATGGGGCATGTGTTATTAGATATATTACATATTTCTGCAATTATAAAAAGGTAGTATTAGTTTAATTTGCACTTGCTTTAAAAGAATATCTTGTAGTCATTACACACTTTCTTTATTAAATGG